TATTGTCAGTAATTGTGTCTAAAGGGAATGATACAATTAAGGATTTTATCTTTTTTTTTTTTTATTGCTTTAGGAGTAGAATTTTATTAGGAGTAAAGTTTATAAAAATATTTGTATAAATATATATAAAATAGGATCATTTCCACTTTTCTCCCATTTATATGGTAACCATATTCTATGGACGTATTTTTATGGCTAACAGTGTGACAGGATATTTAAAATTTGCGTAATTTTAGAAAATCTGAGACAGACAAATCTGTTGCCTGACTGACATGTGAGAGGAGCATAGAGCATTTCTTTATTTTACCAGGAAATCAATTGAGTATTTATTTTTATGTTTTTTAAATTCCATTAACAAAGATTAGCTTGGTAAACATCAGGGAAAAAACATTATTACCATTTGACAATTTAACTGCATACAAGCCCTATAAGCAGGCCTGCCATTTTAAACATACTCAGTATTTTTAACAATAAAACATTGAAAAAAATTTATTCCTTGATTTTTTTTTTTTTGTTGTTAGTTTGTACTCATTTGGGTAATACGTGAGTATTATACAAAACTCAAAACCAACTGCCATTGAGTTGCTTCTGACTCATAGCGACAGTTTAGGAGAGAGTAGAACTGCCCATAGGGTTTCCAGAGCTGTAATCTTTACAGAAGCTAACTGTCTCAAAGCCTCATCTTTTTGTCATGGATTTGCTTGTGGGTTTGAACTACTGGCCTTTGGTTAGCAGCTGTATGCTTTAACTACTGCACCACCAAAGCTCCTTAATGAGTAGATTATCATTCAAAGGGATGTCACGATTCAGTCCAGGGCTGAGAGTAAAAGGCTCAAAAAATGTAATTGCTGAGAGGAACTATGATTCAGTAACTCTAGGGGGAAAAAAAATTCTTCTGGGAAAAATTGCCTTTTGGCAGCTTTAAGTATCATTTTTTTGCACTCCCGCCTCTCAAAGCCTCACAAATGGATGTTTTTAGTATATATAACCAGAAAAAAAAGGTGTTCTTCTGAAGGAGAGAGAGGTGAAAAGTCTTTTGAAAACTGGGTTAGGATGGATTTGAACAGATCTCTTTTCTTACACTGCAAAAAACCTTTCTTTTGTTATCATATCTTCAAGTGGGATCAACTTGTAAAGAATTCAGTTTCCCTAAAGAGGTTTCAGGTCTTCAGTTATATAGCAGAAAATAGAAGATAGCTCTCTATCTGGATACGGTTATCATTACCATTTGATAAGATAATCCAAATATCAATTAATTCTCTCAAACAAAGGTGAAGAAGCTAAAGCTTTTAGTTGGTTTATGTGAGGGGATTATACATTCACTTTGATATATTTATCATTTTCTAAGTAATGTAATGATAGCCATTATCTATTCCGTTAAGCTTAAAAGTGTGTTCTGAGTGCACTTTTTAGTAGTGATCTGACATTCAAGTAGATATTTATTATCTCGAAGACACTACTGTTTTCTGGGATTTTGCCAGTGCCTGCTGCTTGGTCTCTTTCTCTGCCATTTCCTCTTTCACATTTCGTATTAGAATAGAAACAAAACTATCCAGCTCCCAAATCGCCTGAATGTATGTCACACCTGGAACATATTTCATGCTGTCCCCTCTCTACTGTAAATTTTCCACTCCTTTATGTAGGTAACTCCTATTGATACTTCAAAACTCAACTCACTGCTGTTTTCTCCAGGAAGCCTTTTCTAATCAGCTGAGCTAGGCTGGATTTACTTTGTACACCATCCCGTAGCTCTCTGCATGATCTTTCTGTCAATGTGGAGTATGTTAATGTCCTAAAGTGTTCATTTCCTCTAAAAGACTGAGCTCTTTGAAAAGAAGGACCACTACTTTTGAATCATCAATTTACACTGATTATGAATTAAGTGATCGATCAATTAATTAATTAAATGCTCACTGGAGTACATTGGTGAGAATCTTAATTTGTTAGTGCTACACAACAGAAAATAACAGAGATGGATGGCTTTAGGATGGAAAGTTGTTTTCCCACAGTTCTGGAGGCTAGAAGTAGGAATTCAGGAGGTAGATCATAGAAGGTGCTTTCTAGTTTCTTTCAGCTTTTAGTAGCTGCTGACAATCCCTGGTGTTCCTGGGCTTATTTAGATACATTGCAGATACATCTTCTGTGTAAATCTGTCTTTCCTCTGTGTGCTTATGTCTGGGTCTATTTAGCTCTTTTCGTAACTCAGAAGCGATTCAGTTTAGAGTCAACCCTACTCTAGTATGACTATAATAATATAACAAAAGAAAGTGCCTAATTCCACACAGGGTTATATATGCGGGTCCAGGGGTTAGGACTTCAACATACATTTTAGGGAGATACAATCCATCCATAACAGGGAATATAATAGCTTCCTGTCTTCTTGGACTTCATTTTATTGAGAACATAGACACACAGATACATAATGATTCTATGGGAATACAATAGCGCAAAACAGAATTACATAATTTAGATTTAAGATCAGGGAAGTCTTTGGGAAAATTGCAGTTGGATTTAAGACCTGAAAGATGAGTAGCAATCATTATCAGGGAAAAAAATAGGAGCAGAAGAATTCCTAACAGAGGGACTAGCACTTAGAGAAGGCTGAGTGTATGAACTTGTATTATGTTTTCTTGTAACACTCACAGGACTTTTTTAAGGATTAATTTAAATGAAATAAAGTACACCAATCTTATAGGTACAGCTAGAAATTTTAACACACGTACAGACTCATGTAACCACAACCCAGAATTAGAGAACATTTTATCACACCCAAAATTTTCTCTATGCCCCTGTTCCAGACAATTCCATCCCAGAGATAACCACTATTCTGGCTTCTATCACACAGTTTGATGCTTTTCAAGAACAGAAACAAGGTTAGTGAGATGAATATAGGGAGCAAGGGGGATAGAAAAGAGATAGCATTGATTGCATTTAAGCTGTTAATGTTATTGAAAACTAAGAGAATTTCTCCCAATTTTAAATCGTATTTTATATTTTCTATGTCAGCAAAATGTACTCAATCATTCATTCATTTTATTTTTCTACCACCAATAGGAATATTACTTAGAATTTTTATAATAACTAGCCACTCCTTGGAAGGAAGGTTGGGCAATCTACTTCCGTAGTGATACTGCCTCGGAAACCCAAGGGGGGGTCGCTGTGAGTCGATCTGACTCCAAGGCACATAACAACAACAACAAGCCTTAAAGCAAACCAAACTAAACTCAATGCCATTGAGTAGATTCTGACTCATAGCAAACTCCGTTGGGTTTCTGAGGCAGTAAACTTTACAGATGTAAATTGCCCAGTCTTCCATCCGCAGAGTGGCTGGTGGATTTGAACTGCCAACCTTCTGGCAGTCCTTATGACTGTGGAAAAAATCTTCCATCTTTGTTTATAGGTAATTGTAATGAGTTTAAAATTATAACTGAACAGAGGAATTTCCATATTGTTTTATTTACATCCTCAAAATATGATTCACTGTTTACAAAGTATTAGAAACAAATACTGCAAAGAGATAAACTCTTGAATACTTCTACCCATAATTTAGGATTCATTTATTAAATTAATTTTGTGCCAAACAATTTTAAAGAACATTTACATGTTGTTTAGGTAATTGAGGTAAGTGGACATCCTATAGTTAACCAAAATATCTTTTATTTGTTTGGCTTTCTTTATTTGAACAATCAGTCATTTTTCCAATTAACCTAATTAATTTTGGTTTGTTTCCTCATTTTGAAAACCTGATACTCATTTCATGTTCATCATCTAATTGGTAAAATCATGAAAAGTGGAAAGGGTTTTAAAACCAATAAAAATAAATGCTTCCACCGCTAGGGAATTTCTTGTTATGGTTGTTGTTAGGTGCTGATAATTCGGCTCTGACTCATAGTGACCCTATGCACTACAGAACAAAGTGCTGCCTGGTCGCATGCTATCCTCACAATCCTTGCTATACTTGAGCCCATCGTTGCAGCCGCTGTATCAATTCATTTCGTTGAGGGCCTTTCTGTTTTTCACTGACCAAACATAATACCCTTCTCCAGGAAATCATCCCTTTTGACAACATATCCAAAGTAGGTGAGACAAAGTCTGGCCATTTCTACTTCTAAGGAGCTTTGCAACTGCACTTGTTCCAGAACAGATTTGTCCTAGAATTTGGGCATTACTTAGTAGCCAATTTTTCCATATATTTTCTTTATTACATATAGAAAAATAATTAAATAGAGATATGAAAATATGTGTGTGTCTCTACAGTTCTGGAATGAATTGTAATCATTGATCATGCATGACATCATAGAGAATGGTGTAAATTGTGCTTTGCATTTCCATGTGTAGTTTATTTCCTTTATTGAGACATGGTTATTGGCAACATTTTCTTACAGTAGGTCATGCATTGTTGTTTGTAATATCAGTACAACTTTTTTTCATTCTCTTTCTCTCTAGTGCGATTTAATACAGGCAAAAAATATTGAATTCTGATGGGTGGCTTTTGTTTATACATCCTGGGGAAGATGGGTTACCTAAATACCAAAGTGCTTAACAATTTGCTACAGGATAGAATTGAAAGGCTTCCTCCTTACACTTGGGAAAATGCATCCTTTGTAGAAAGTTTTACTACTCTTAACAGGTGATCAGGATAACTCAGCTGCTCTAGCTCTGAATTTCCTTGGTAACCAGATTTTTTTCCATTTAATTCTCAAATCACTTAACAACACTAGACTGACATTTAATGCACATCTCTTGTACACCAGGCATTAGGAAAGAGAGATGAAGCATTATCTTGATACTTAAAATCTCTTACTAAATAACTAAATCAAAGACCATTTTTTCTAGCTACTTTTCTTTATAACATACACATTGGACTACGGTGTATTCAAATACATAAATGAGTTAAACACATCAAGGAGTTGAATAAGTAAAAGGATGTTCAAATCTTTCTTATACCTTCTTCTGTGCTTTTGAGACTTACGTTTGTTTTTCATATATTTTTATTTCAGCTGAAAGAGACATCAGTGTCTACTGTGGGGTGCAGGCCATTACAATGAAGATTAATTTTTGCACCGTACTTTTCTCGGGTTATTCGGAAACAGATCTGGCACTGAATGGAAGGCATGGGGATTCCCACTGCAGGGGGTTCATAAATAACAACACCTTTCCTGCAGTGGTCATTTTCATCATCAATCTGAGCACCTTGGAGGGCTGTGGAAACAACTTAGTGGTAAGATTAGTGTGAAATTGTGTGCTAAGTCTGAGGTCATAACTAAAAAAACCCTTCCATTTCATGAAGTAATCAGAAGACCAATCTATTTTAAGGGAAAAATTTTTCCAATAAAACTGAACAAAACACCTTGCTGATTTGAGGCTTCCACTACCAAATACATAATTCTATCTTCCAATAATGGTTCTGTTTATACTAGCTGGGAGGTTGAGGGTCCTGATACTTGGTAGGAGATTGGCTGAGCTACTCTCTAGGCATCATTACTTTGTGTAATATTGATGGCTATTTCTCTACGGTTTATCATTAGCCATTCTATTCATGCTTTTTATGGAAGTGTCTGGTATTACAAAAAGTGTTTAGTACAGTAAGTTTGGCAGTGAGCCACTTGTCCTACTGCTTTTTTTTAGTAACTTCATCGAGAAAGAAAGCTGAAAGGATGGGAAATTTGGAATTATCTAGGTTTCATGTTTACCGTTGAGTGATGCATATCAGTGCTTTGTAAAAGAAGGCTGTCAGCATCTCTAACGTGAAATTCTTCATTGTGTGGGCCTTTCCTTTGCATTTCAAAATGTTTATTATGCCCGGTCTTATGCACGGAACCCCACTAGCACACTCTTTCCAGTCATTGTGATGATGAAAACACTGTTCCAAACATTTCCACTCAGGATAAGGACCACTTGTCTATGTCATTCATTTACTTATTCATGCATTGAACACTAAAAAATACAGTTGCATAAAGAATAAACTATCTGTTGTTGTTTTTAGGCACCATGGAGTCACTTCTAACTTATATCGCCACTATGTATAACAGAATGAAGCACTGCGTGATACTGCACCATCCTCACAGTTGTTACTATGTTTGAGCCCATTGTTGCAGCCAGCGTACCAATCCATCTTGTTGAGGGACTTCTTTTTTTTTTTTTTTTTACCGACCCTCTACTTTACCAAGCATAATGTCCTTTTCCAGGGATTGGTCCCTCCTGATAATATATCCAAAGTACGAGAGGCAAAGTCACTCCAACCTTACTTCTAAGGAGCATTCTGGCTGTACTTCCAAGCCAGATAAATTTGTTCTTCTGGGCATCTATGGTATATTCAAGACTCTTCACCAATACCATAAATCAAAAGCATCAATTCATCTTTGCTCTTCCTTATTGGTGGTCCAGCCTATTGGAAGGATATGAGGTGACTGAAAATACTATGGCTTGGGTCAGGTTCACCTTATCCTCAGAGTGACATCTTTGCTTTTGAACATTTCAAAAATGTCTTTTGTTGAATATTTATCCAATGCAACATCATGTGACTTCATGACTGCTACGTCCGTAGTATGGACTGTGGATACAAGTAAAATGAAATCCTTGATAGCTTCAATCTTTTCTCCATTGTACATATTGTTGCTTATTGTTCCAGTTGTGAGGATTTTCATTTTCTTTTTGTGGAGGTGTAATCCATACTTGAGGGCTGCAGTCTTTGATCTTCATCAGTAAGTGCTTCAAATCTTCACTTTCAACAAGTGAGATTGTGTCCTCTGCATACTGTAGGGTGTTAACAAGTTGTCTTTCATTCCTGATTCCCTGTTCTTCTTCATATATTCCAGCTTCTCAGATTATTTGCTTAGCATACAGATTGAATAAGTATGGTGAAAGGATACAACTCTGATGCACATCTTTTATGATTTTAAATGATACAGTATCCCCTTTTTCTATTCCAGTGATTACCTCTTGGTCTACAAGTTCCACATGAGCACAATTAACTGTTTTGTAATTCCTATTCTTTGCAATGTTATCCTTAATTTGTTATGAATGCCTTTGCATAGTCAATAAAACACTGGTAAACATTTTTCTGATATTCTCTGCTTTCAGCCAACATCCATTTGGTATCAGCAACGATATCCCTCATTCCACATCCTCTTCTGAATTTGGCTTTAATTTCTGGCTGTTCTCTGTTGATGTACTGCTACAACGATCTTTAAATTATCATCAGCAAAACTGTATTCATATGAGATATTAATGCTATTGTTCAATAACGTCCACATCCTGTTGTGTCACCTTTCCTTGGAATGGGCACAAATATCTTCTGGTTGGTTGGCCAGGTATCTGTCTTCCAATTTTCTTGGCATAGACAAGTGAGTACTGCCAGTATTACATCCATTTCTTTTTTAAAAACATTTTATTGTGATTTGAGTGAAAGTTAACAGAGCAAATTCATTTTCTATACAGCAGTTCATATATAGTTTGTCTCATGACATTGACTGGAATTTCCCATGCAACAGCTCTCTTCCCACTTCCTCCCTATAGATATCTCTTCCTTGTGTCTTCTATGCAGTTCTGTCCCCACCCAGCAAGGTGTCTCCATGTGTATATGTTGTTGTGGTTGTTGTTAGGTGCCGTCGAGTCGTCTTCGACTCATAGCAACCCTATGCACAGCAGAATGAAACACTGCCCAGTCCCTTACCAGCTCCACAATTACTGCTGTACTTGAGCCCATTGCTGCAGCGACTGTGTCAATCCATCTTGTTGAGGGCCTTCCCCTCTTTTATCGACCCTCCACCTTACCAAGCATGGCATCCTTCTCCAGAAAATGGTCCCTTCTGATAACTTGACCAAAGTAGGTGAGATGAAGTCTGGCCATTTCACTTCCAAGGAGCTTTCCGGCTGCACTTCCTTCAGGACAGATTTGTTAGTTCTTTTAACAGTCCATAGAACTTTCAACATTCTTCACCAGCACTACAACTCAAAAGAATCAATCCTTCTTTGGTCTTCCTTATTCATTGTCCAGCTCTCACATGCATATGAGGTGATTGAAAATGTCATGGCTTGTGTCAGGGGCACCTTAGTCCTCAAGGAGACATCTTTGCTCCTCAGCACTTGAAAGAGGTCCTTTGCAGCTGACTTGCCCAGTGCTATATGTCGTCTGACTTCTTGACTGCTGCTTCCATTGGCATCAATTGTTAGAACCAAGCAATGTGAAGTCTTTGACAACTTCAATATTTTCTCCATTTATCATGATGCTGCTTGTTGGTCCAATTGTAAGGATTTTCATTTTCTTTGAATTGAGGTGTAGTCTGTACGGCAGACAATACCTTTCAATCCTCATCAATAAGTGCTTCAAGTCATCTTCAATTTCAGCAAGCAAAGTTGTGTCATCAACATATCGCAGGTTGTTAATGATTCTTCCTCCAGCCTTGATGCCATGTTCTTCTTCATGTAGTTCAGCCTCTCTAATTATTTGCTCAACATATAGATTGAATAAGTATGGTGAAAGGACACAACCCTGATGCACCCCTTTCTTGATTTTAAACCATGCAGTATCCCCTTGTTCTGTTCTAATGACAGCCTCCTGGTCTATGTACAGGTTCCTCATGAGTACAATTAAGTGTTCTGAAATTCTCATTCTTCTCAATGTTAGCTACAATTTGTTATGATCCACACAATCGAATGCTTTTTTATACTCAATAAAACACAAGTAAACATCTTTCTGGTATTCTCTGCTTTGAACCAAGATCCATCTGCCATCCACAATGATATCCCTTGTTCCACGTTCTTCTGAATCTGGCTTGCACCTCTGGAAATTCTCTGCCAATATACTGCTGCAACCATTCTCGAACTATCTTCAGTAAGGTTTAACTTGCATGCAATATTAATGATATTGTTCAATAATTTCCACATTCTGTGGTATCACCTTTCTTTGAAATCAGTACAAATATAGATCTCTTCCAGTCAGGTGTCCAGGTAGCTGTCTTCCAAATCTCTTGGCATAACTGAGTGCCTCAAGTGGGGAATCTGTTTGTTGAAACATCTCAATGGGTTTTCCGTCAATTCCTGGTGCCTTATTCTTCACCAATTTCTTCAGTGCAGCTTTGACTTCTTCCTTCAGTACCATTGGTTCTTGATCATATGGTACCTCCTGAAATGGATGAAGATTGACCAGTTCTTTTTGGTACAGTGACTCTGTGTATTCCTTCCATCTTCTTTTGATGTTTCCTGCATCGTTCAATATTTTTCCCATAGAATCTTTCAATATGGGAACTCAAAGCTTAAATTTTTTCTTCAGTTCTTTCAGCTTGAGAAATCTGGATCATATTACCTTTTAGTTTTCTAACTACAGGTCTTTGCACATTTCATTAGAGTAATTGGCTTTGTCTGCTCTAGCTGCTCTTTGAAATCCTTTGTTCAGCTCTTTTATCTTGTCATTTCTTCCATTTGCTTTGGCTACTCTCCACTCAAGGGCAAGTTTCAGAGTCTATTCTGTCATCCATTTTGGTCTTTTCCTTTTTTCTAATCTTTTTAATGCTTTTTGCTTTCTTCATGGATGATGAGCTTGATGTCATCCCACAATTCTTCTGGTTTTCAGCCATTGGTGTTCAGTGCATCAAATCTGTTCTTCAGATGGTCTCTAAATTCAGGAGGGATAAATTCAAGATCATATTTTGGCTCTCGTGGACTTGTTTTAATTGGCTTCAACTTCAAGTTGAACTTTCATATGAGCAGTTGATAGTCTGTTCCAATCAGCTCCTGGCCTAGTTTGGCTCAAGATATTGAGCTACTCTACCACCTCTTGCCACAGATGTAGTCACTCTGATTCCTGTGTACTCCATCTGGTGAAGTCTACGTGCATAGCCACCATTTGTGTTGTTGAAAAAAGATATTTGCAGTGAATAAGTTGTTGGTCTCACAAAATTCTATCAGATGATCTCCAACATTATTTCTGTCAGCAAGGCCAAATTTTTCACTACCTGTGATTCTTCTTTGTTTTCAACTTTTGCATTCCAGTCACCAGTCATAATTAACACATTTTGATTGCACGATTGGTCAATTTCAGACTCCAGAAGTCCATAAAAATCTTCAATTTCCTCATCTTTTGCTTTGGTGGTTGGTGCATAACTTTGAATAATAACCGTATTAACTGGTATTCCTTGTAGACCTATGGATATTATCTTATCACTGACAGCATTGTACTTCAGGACAGATCTTGAAACATCCTTTGTGATGATGAATGCC